TTGAATGGTGGTTCATGCAGGGGAAGAACATATTAATATTCGCATATTCATTCAAAAACATGAAAATTCTTAATGGAGTACCCTCATTTTGTATTGAATTCCTAAAAAACAATATTTATAATGAATTTTAATAATTTTTTCGGATTTTTTTGAAGCTTTATTCTGACCGATTCACCCGATTCCGATCCGGATCGTCGATTCGTCGATCCGGATCGCCGATTCACCGATCCGGATCGGTTTTTGGAAAGCCCGATCAGGGTCACCGATCCGGTTTTTAAACCATTGCTCTATACACAACACAGTCGGCACTAGTCTCCTTCTCCTACATAGCCGGCGTTGGCCTCTGCACACGGCACAGCCAACGCTAGTCTCTGTACACAACACAACCGGCGCTGACACTTCTTCTCTTCATAGCCGGCGCTGCTCACAACTCAGCCGGTGCTGGTACTTCTTTCTCTTCACAGCAAGCGCTGCACATAACTCAGCTAGTGCTTCCCACAACTCAGTCGGCGCTGCCCACAACTCAGCCGGCGCTGGCCACCACTCAGTCCACGCTGACCACAACTCAGCCGGCACTGTATCCTTCCTTCCTCCCTAACTTGCAATGCATTATTACTGGCTGGGAAAATTTTGGTTCGTCACATCATCCCCCCTTAAAACAGATTTTGTCCCCAAAATCGTTAATCGAATAGATCGGGGTACAACGCCTGAATTTCATCTGCTCGCTCCCACATTGAGTCTTCTCGTGAATGATACTGTCATAAAACCCAGACCAAGGGATTCTCTTTGTTGCGTAAAACTTGAACCCTTTTGTCAAGAACTCAATTGATTGCTCAACATAAACTAAATCTTCCTAATTGAGATTGGTTCATATCTCAAGACGTGGGATGGATTGGGTTGATACTTCCTCAATAACGAAACATGAAATACATCATGAATGTTGGCGAATTCGGGTGGTAAGGCCAGCCGGTATGCCGCAACTCTTATTCTTTCTAATATTTCAAAGGGTCTAATGAATCGTAGACATAGCTTCCCTTTCTTTCCAAACCTCATAATTCCCTTATCGACATAACTCTTCTGCTGACTTAGAGATGTTTTAAGCCTTTCCTGAATTAGGGCGATCTTCTCTAATGTTACTTGAACAATTTCCGGTTCTAAGAGTCTCCTATCGTCAACTTCATTCTAACACACCAGTGACCTGCACTTCTCCCATATAAAGCTTCAAAAGGTGTCATTTGAATACTGGCCTGAAAACTGTTGTTGTATGCAAATTCTACTAAAGGTAAGTGATCGTCTCAATTTCCTTTGAAGTTGGTAACACAAGCCCTCAACAAATCTTCTAAGGTCTGAACGGTCCTCTTTGACTGTCCATCAGTCTGGGGATGAAAAGCAATACTGAAGGTAAGTTTTGTCCCCAAAGCTGATTGTAGACTGCTCCAAAACCTTGAAGTAAATCTAGAGTCCCTGTCAGACACAATACTGACAGGTACTCCATGCAGCCTTATTATTTCCTTGACATACAGCTGAGCCAGTTTATCTAGGGTATAGGTAGTGCGGACCGGTAAGAAATGTGCAGCCTTAGTTAATCGGTCAACAATAACCCAAACATTGTCACGTCCCATGCCTGACCTTGGCAAATCGGACACAAAGTCCATAGTGATGTGTTCCCACTTCCATTCAGGCAAAGGTAAGAGTTGTAACAACCTGGCAGGTCTCTGATGTTCAGCCTTTACTTTCTAACAGGTCAAACATTTAAAAACAAATTATGCCACATCTGTCTTCATGTTATTCCATCAGAAGATCTTCTTTAAATCTTGATACATTTTTTTGCTTCCTGGGCCCACAGTATAACGGGAGTGGTGCGCTTCCTCTAGAATAGCCCTTTTTATCTTCTCATCACTTGGGACGCATACCCGTTCTCTAGATATTAGTAAATCATCACTATTGATAGAAAAATTCCCTTCTTTTTCCAGCTTTAGGTCTCCCAGAATTTTACTTAGCTGGGGGTATGCCTTTTGAGCTACTCTGATATGTTGAAAGAGTGGTGGTTCCACCCTTATACCTGCAGTTATTCCTATCTCAGAATTAGAGGGTAAGGTCGGGCGCCACTCCACTGCATCTTTGATCAATTTCATTTCTCGGGCCATCAGATGTGCCACTGTTGTTGAGGGTTTCCGACTCAAAGCATCGGCTACTACATTTATCTTGCCCTGTTGGTAATTTATGGTGCAATCATAATCACTTAGTAGGTCCATCCATCTCTTTTGCCTCATATTCAACTCCTTCTGAGAAAATAAGTACTTGAGGCTCCTATGATCTGTAAATATCTTGAACTGGGCTCCATATAGAGATAATGTCTCCAAATTTTCAAGGCAAAAACCACAGCCGCAAGCTCTAAGTCGTGAATTGGGTAATTTTGCTCGTGCGGCTTTAACTGTCTAGAGGCATAAGCTATAACTTTCTCTTGCTACATTAATACACACTCTAGTCCCTTATGGGAAGCATCAGTGTAGATTACAAAACCTCCATTTCCTTCGAGTAAAGTTAGTATTGGGGATGTAGTCAATCTTTTCTTTAATTCTTGGAAACTCTTCTCACAATCATCTGACTATATAAATTTTACTCCTTTCTGGGTCAGAAAGATCAGGGGAAGTGCTATCTTTCAAAAACCTTCTACAAAACGCCTATAGTATCCTGCCAGACCCAGAAAACTGCGGACTTTTGTGACATTTGTCGGTCTTCCCCATTTAAGTATGGCTTCAATCTTACAAGGGTCAACTATGACCTCCTCCTCAGAAATAACACGCTCAAGGAAGACCACACTTGAAATCCAAAACTCGCTTTTCCTAAATTTAGCATATATCTTTTCTGTTTTTTAGGGTCTGGAGAACCATCCTCAAATGTTGTTCATGCTTTTCTAAATTCTTTGAATATACCAGAATGTCATCTATAAAAACCACCACAAAGTCATCTAAAAAGGGTCTAAACACCCTATTCATCAAATCCATAAAGACAGCAGGGGCATTAGTCAACCCGAAGGGCATTACTAAGAACTTGTAGTGACCATAACGAGTCTTGAATGCGGTCTTAGGTACATTTTCTTCCTTGACTCGCAGTTGATGGTAACCTGACCGAAGGTCGATCTTGGAGAATATTTAGGCCCCTTGGAGTTGATAAAAAAGGTCATCAATTCTAGGCAAGGGGTACTTATTTTTCACAGTGACTTGGTTCAGCTGCCGATAGTCTATACATAGCATCAAAGACCCATCATTCTTTTTAACAAATAAGACAAGCGCACCTCAGGGTGACACACTAGGTCGAATAAAACCCTTCTCCAGCAACTCTTGTAATTGTTCTTTTAACTCCTTTAGGTTAGCTGGGGCCATCCTATAAGGATCTTTAGAGATGGGAACAGTATCAGGGATCACATTTATCTCAAATTCTATTTTTCTGTTTGGGGCCAAAGAGGTTAACTCTTCGGGAAAGATCTCCAGATACTCTCTTACCACCGGTATCTTGATTCTCCGCTATGTAAGCAAGATACCCAACACAATGTTTAGTCAGCAAACGGGAAGCCCGAACAGCTGAAATAAAATGCAGAGGAGGAACATCCTTAACGCCAATAAAATTCAACTCAGGCTGGTTTGGGCGTCTAAAATTACAATCTTATCACGACAATTTATAGTAGCATGATGTGTGGATAGCCAGTCCATGCCCAAAATAACATCAAAGTCTTGGATATTTAACAATATCAAATCTATATGCAACTCACACCCTTCAAGTAAAACCCCACAATGTTTATAAACAATATCAGTTTCTATAGATCCCCCCATATGTGTGCATACTATCAATATCCAGTCAATCAAAGAAGGTCTAGTATTTATGTGGCATGCAAAGTGAGGTGCAACAAAAGAGTGTGTGGATCCAGGATCAACTAGGATTTTGCTTCAATGGCATGAACGAGGAGCATACCTCTGATAACTGAAGTCGATGCCTTAGCTTCCTACTCAATGAGAGCAAACACCCAACCTTGAGTCTTTGGTCGGTTCTCAGATCCCCTTACTGGACAGTCTCTAATCTAGTAGCCCGGCTTGCCAGCCCTGAAGCACTCCCCAGTCTTCCTTCGGTAATCAGCCGCCAAGTGATTATCGTTCCCGCAATGTGGATATGTCGGGCGTCGATTCTCTCCTACATCGCCCGATAACATCCTCTGATTCTTCTTGCTCCTCTGATTTTCTCGTCCCCGAAAGTTCCTCTTTAGTGGTGGTCGATCTTTTCTCCCCTCGTTTCCAACTAGGTGGGCCTCATCTTTCAGTTTCCTCCACCCCGGGACTCTTCGTCTTCCCTTTCTATCTCCATGGCCAGATCCACTAAAGGGGAAAATGTCTTTAAATTGGTTGTTATCACCCCCCTCCTTATTTCTGGCCTACGACCACTTTCGAACATACCAGGCTTCCACGCCTCGGTATTAATGATGTGTGGTGCATTCCTTGACAACTCAGCAAACTTGGTTGTATACTGCTACATAGTTAAATTCCCTTGTTGCAGCTCCAAAGTACTTTTCATTGAAGGCTTCTAAAAAATTCTTCTGAGTCATTTTTGTTCCTGACCTTTCCCAAGATTGTTCTACCGAGCCCCACCAGTGCTCAGCGTTCCCTTCAAGCATGAAAGTGCCTAGCCTTACTTTTTGCTCATCAGTGCAATTTAAAACTTTGAATATCTTCTCCACCTTTCTCCTCCATCTCTCAGCCTTTTCTACTCCTCCAAGCCCTAAGGAGGTCGGAGGAGCCAACCTCCAAAACTTCTCTATTAAGCTACTATCATTCGAGTCAGGGGCAGGTTTAGATGGGGCTGGCAAAATAATTTGTGTCATAGCCCCTAAAGTCTTGACGAATTCACCGAGGGCCTCAGTCTTGTCATTATTGGAGCTTGAATTATTGGCCCTCATTCTCGGCATCTCCAACCTAAGATACAAACACTCAATTACCAATCTACCCAAAACTATTCTAAAGACACTTCTAAACTCCCTAGGCCAAGAATCCTATCCTGGCTGCTCTGATACCATAACTGTCACGACTCCGCACCCTGACCCCTGCCGGAGGGTGATAGAGCGCGGGATTGCGACCGAACGTCAATCAGGTGGGAGTGGCTCAACGCATAAAAACACGAAATCTAGAGCAAACCACTAAAGAAAACTAGAATAAATCCATTCATCAAACAAGAATCAAACCAAAGGTAAAGCCATTTCATTCATACAATATCAAAAGTATTTACAATTTCTTAGAGGCACTACTGGCCCAAAATACACAAAATGAAGTGTACATCATGCTGCTGAAATCACCAAAACATACTGTGAAAGTTTTCGAAAGACGGCTTCTCAAACTTTTTAATTTCAAGCTTCAAACCCTCAAATTGCCACCCACCTTTGGTACAGCTGCCACTACCCTTCACTCTACTGTTATGAGATTAAGATGGAATGAGTTAAAATCCCAGTAAGAAGATCACTACCCTTTCATTCCTGACTAAGAGTGTATATACATGATAACATGCCCATAGTTCAACAAAAGTTGCATTTGCCTTACAGAGTGTAATCACATATCAGACTACATGAATGCTATATAACAAGGGTAAGAATCAGTTAACGGAGCATTACTTGTTCCTAAGATGACGTCTACCAGTTATCGTAAGATAGTCTTACATAATATAGAATTCAGATAAGCAGAACATATTAATCTACTCCCAAAGTAGAAGCCACATCGATCAGGCTAAGCCAATCCTGTAACTTGGGAATTCTACCCTCATTTAGGAGGGAGGATAATGACAAGTGGGTGCCCCACTTCGTAATATCCTCACCCACTTCGTAATATCCTCACTCACTCACACATCCCCAGCGCACTTTGGGGTTTTCGATAGTCGAGGGCTTGTAAGACACGACTCTCACTTGTGCCCTAGGCGAGAGGGCGTTACACTACCATTGGAGAACCCAATGCATAGTGCCCATGACAATTCGGGGGGCATGACCCTCCCAATTATTTACAGTTACGTCTCGACTCCACTCATATCATAAGAGTCGAGGTACAGGATACCCGACTACCAATGGAGGACCCATTGCATAGCAGTCACAGAAGCATAATATCCAATATCAATGGAGGACCCATTGTGCAGTGGCAGGAAATCATAGGACAACATAATTCATATAACAGAATCAAAATATCCACTACCAATGGAGGACCCATTTCGTAGTGGCCAGAAATCACAGAATACCAGTATCAAAATATCCACTACCAATGGAAGACCCATTGCATAGTGGTCAGGAGTCACAAAATATCAGTTTTCATATAACAAAGTCAGAATATTGACTACCAATGGGAGACCCATTGCGTAGCGAACATGGCATGTATAACAGTATCAATATGACAAAAATCACAGTATCCACTACCAATGAAAGACCCATTACGTAGTGGCTAGAAATCAATATTCATATAGCAGAATTAAACAATATCAGTATCACATTTTTAACAGTATCAGATTCAGATCCATAGTATAATAGTATCAAAGTCACAAAGTCTCAGTGTCATTGTCACATTTCCTGCAATTTCAAGCGGTGACATCTGATCAAAACATGGTCAGAACTCCCAATTCCTCTGGAAGTTAAAAACGGTTCAAGAATTAATTGTATACTAGACACTCCGACCCTTCGAATGGGAGTGGTTTGAAGACAATTAGGCCCAGTTTAACCTCTTAAAGGTTCCGAGAGGTGAGGGCTAACTGCACGCTGCTGTGTACAGTGGAAAGCGAGGTACCCTGCTTCATATCACTATAACTTGTAAACCGTGAGGTAACTTGTGATGGTTTCAAAATCAAAATTTAAACCAAGACATATATATTTTTAACAAGGTACATTTGAAAGCATTTGGATTCCATTTGGTCATTCAAAGATTCTTGCCAAACAAGGTGATAGTTTTGAATTTTATCAATACTGCCCACAATGACATACCTTCATATGCTGAAGTATAACTTTAAATCTAAAACAAATTTCAAAATAATTTCTCATGAAAATTTTAGTCCATTCAAAGATCTTTTAAATGGCTATGGTTTTGTAGAAAATGGACTTCATTTGGCTAGTTAAAATCAGTAACTATAGCAACATCAGTAAAAAATCCAGGAAAACAGTCAGCAGTGATATACTCTTTCATTTTGAAACATAACTTCATTTTCATAAAGAATTTAAATAGTAGGAAAAAGTGAACATTTTACTAGACTTGTATATATTTCCAACGAGTGTAGTTTAAGGTCAATCGGACCCCATTTGACAAATCAAAAGCCTCATTCAAGAACACAAATAATTCTGGAATTTCACTGTGGCATATAACATGTCTAAAGAATACATTCCATAACCCTCATTTCATGGTGAGAAACAAGCTAACAACCATTCTCTCATAATGTGAACACACATAACATGCATTTCTTACACAATCTAAGAATAATACATTCATTCTCAACATCCATCATTATCATAGAACAAAAGCCTCAAATTCTAAAAAGGCATAAGGATTTTCTACAACACATACACTATTATTGCTAATTTCACATGCATAAATTCTCATGCATCCTTATGACTACAATGCAATGGTGATGGATCTACTTACTCGAATAACAATGGTATCTTCCCCAATCCTCTATTCACAGCTCTCACACGCTTAACGATGGGTGTCCTCTGACAGTCACTTCTTCAAACCTCGTGGTTTAGAGAGAGGAGAAAATGAGGGACGAGTGAGTGGTGTGGGTGAGAGGAGAGGCTTAAGTACTCTTAAGTTTGGGGTGGTGGTCCAAGTGTCATCAAAAGACTTAAATCTAGACAAGTGTCACTCACATCAGTACACATCTAATAAATGGCACTCATAATCTGTGCATATCAACAACGCAGCTGACGTTAGTCTCCTGCACACAACACAGTCGGCACTGGTCTCTTGCACACAACATATTCGACGCTGGTCTCCTTCTCCTACATAGTCGGTGCTGGCCTCTGCATATGGCACAGCCGGCGCCGGTCTCTATACACAACACAGCCGGTGCTGACACTTCTTATCTTCACAACCGGCGCTGCTCACAACTCAGCCGGCACTGATACTTCTTTCTCTTCACAGTCGGTGCTACACATAACTCAGCTGGCTCTACCCACAACGCAGTTGGCACTGCCCACCACTCAGCCGGCACTGCCCACCACTCAGCTGTCGCTGGCCACAACTCAGCCGACGTTGTATACTTAATTCCTCCTTATCCTGCCATGCATTTTAACTGGCCGGGAAAAGTTTGGGTCGTCACAGTCATCCCGGATAGTGTTGTTTTTTATTTGTAGTGCAACTTTACTGATTTCCTACATCGTTCTGCCACCCTGACAACTCTAGAATAGAGGGTTCCTCGCCCTCACTTTTCATCGCATTTTGAGAAGGGTTACAACCTGCTCAAAGCATGCCCCGCTTGGCATAAGCTGCATTTTTAAGTTGGACCGCACCATTGGTCAATCCCGACCCAGGGTGCACTCCACTAGACATTAGCATGTCTGATACTCACTCTCTCGATGCTAGGGCACCTAGCCCTTCATTTGCATTATGCTTTGGTCGACTAGCCAATCCAAGGTGCGCATCAATCGCCACCCGTGTGCCTGGTATTCACTCATTATTGGGGCATCTAGCCCCTTCACTTTCATGGTGCCTCAACCGGCTTTGTCGATTCAGAGTGCGGATTGCTTGATACACACCGTACCCTTCGTTCATTTGCTTGTTTGTGCACACTCCTGCCTGCTCGCCTCACTTTTCTTCACGTGCACTTGTGCTGTTTAGCACACTTTTCGCACATGCATATAAAATCTCTTACAAAACTAGTTTTTCGAAAAACCTGCATCCAAACCTCATGCTCTATGAGTAGGGACTTAGTTCTAGAGGACGAGCATCAGGGATTATGAGCCCAATAACGGGAGTTCTCCCCACACCCTCTATCATATCCCATCGGCCTCTACGAACACCCCCACAATACTTTGGTTCCATAACAGCTTATAAGAGAGGTTTGGACCAAAGGCGAGCCGTACCCTGTTACCCCACCTCATTTCTTAAAAAAGGTTTACCCTAGGTAGTAACTCTAGGCCCAGCCTTACTTGCTAGTAGTTTAGAGAGACTTGTGTCTTTCCAATTGTTGATTATGCCTAAGTAGAGAGATACAACAACTCAGGTGTGGAGGCATGGAATTGGGACACGAAATCCATCGCCAACTCATACCAAAGGTCAGGTACGATGACCGGTCGCCCATTGAGACAACGCATAGCTGTCCCCTGAGACTATGTGACTCAACCTCAGTTCGAGCCCATGGTCAGGCCACCTAGTTATCTTTCTAAAGACCAATTAAGTCGATGGAAAGATACTAGGGATCATTAGGTCTATATCGCCAGGCCCACTCTGAATAGCTAAGGCATTAGACAAGGCGCAATCCTCTAGTAGGTTGGAGTGTCGCAACTGTCACGACGACGGACAGAAGGCAGGGTGTGTGCTTTTAGTGGCGGCTAAGCTAGTGATTTAAGCTTAGACAATCCCTGAAACCCTTAGTTTCCCCCAGCCTAGTAGGGAACATTCCCGCAGGAATAGTACAATCGGATCCTCCAATGCCCATGGAAGCCGTAGGGCTAATAGACCACCTCTTAGAGCTAGCCCATCTAACCCAAGGGTAACTCCAGACCCTAGTATGGCCCAAATTCACGTTGGAGCCAGCCACACTATAGACCCGGCTTCCACTGCCCAAGCTGTTCTCAAAACCAGAACCAACCCTAACTTAGGACATGAAGCAAACTTTTCAGCTCGACCCAATCCAAAACCCCCTCAGTTTGGTTGATTGCAACTTGACCCTAACATGGAGTCGAACCGACCTGTCCTATCATATTCACCCTTCCTAGCCTAGGAAGACACA